TTCCTCAAAACAACTTCCCCAGCACAGCGGTGCTCAAACCTTCTGTCACTTTCCACCTAAACTGGTTTGCACATTTATCCTGGAACTCCTATGCTTGCTTTCTTTATTTAAATAAAAGGGGTGGGATGGGACTTACAAGAAACGTACAACAAAATCAGTTGTGCTGCTTGACAGAGGTAAAGGTAAAGGTTCCCTTGCTCGAAAGCCAGTCAAATCCGACTCTAGGGTTGCGGTGCTCATCTCCGTTTCAAAGCCGAAGAGCCAGCGTTGTCCGAAGACGTTTCCGTGGTCATGTGGCCGGCATGACTAAACACCAAGGCGCACGGAACGCTGTTACCCTCCCACCAAAGTGGTACCTATTTATCTACTTGCAATTTCTTGCTTTCGAACTGCTAGGTTGGCAGGAGCTGGAACTAGAGATGGGAGCTCACTCCATCATGCGGCACCCCTGGGTCTCGAACTGCTGAATTACTGACCTTCCACAGCCTGCAGTTCAGCATCTTAACCACTTGAGCCACCACAGCTCCAGAGGTAGGCTTGGTTTATACATGCAGCAGAATTAGGTGGTAGAAAGGACAGTAGCACTTGGGACTACATGCGTGATGATGCTATCGTTTTTAGTCTTCCTCTCAAAAGCTCCCCGCAACTTAGAAAACAACGCTACTTTTCCCTGCTGACGTAGATTTCTGCTTACAGGGAGTTTTGTTTGCTAATTAGGGAGCATTTTTTTAAAAAAATGGAATTCTCCCAGTGGTAGCCTTTACTGGCAGCCCTTTGCAATTTACTCCCATCTGTGTTTAAGTGCCATAAAGCTATTTCCAACTTCCCTATGAATTAATGACCTCCAAAACATTTAATGTTTAACAGCCTTGCTCAGGTCTCCCCATCAAATAAATGGCTTCGATTGGAATAACTCTGCATAGGAGTGTACTAAGAGCTCTGTCTACCACCTCATCTTGCTACACAACGAAACTAAACCTTAGCCTCAAGCAGGGCTTTTTTTGTAGAAAAAGTCCAGCAGGAACTCATTAGCATAATAGGCCACACCCAGCAGCAGGAACTCATTAGCACATTAGGCCACACCCACTGACTACACCACTCATTAGCATATTAGGCCGCATTCCCAGGAATAACTCTGCATAGGAGTGTACTAAGCTGTGTCGACCACCTCATCTTGCTACACGATGAGACTAAACCTTAGCCTCAAGTATTGTTATGGCCATTGGACATTCAATCCGCCATCTTTTAGATTATGAATGGGAGCTTGAGCACCTGTTATTATATTTTAATATGTAGTATATGTTTTAAACTGTTTTGTATATATTGTTTTATCATGGCAAGTTGTTCTTGCCTCTGTGAGCCGCCCTGAGCCCACTGGGGCAAGTATTGTTATGGCCATTGGATTTCAGCTGCTGGTTGATGACACATGTCCAGGAATACTGGAAAGTTTATACCAGGTTATAACATCAATGAAGATTTGTTTGTGAGTGCAGTTACCATGTGAAGGGATCCATGGCCTGCTTTATAAGCTTACATCATATCACACAATATAAGAGATAACATCTGGTCCAGCTTGATACATATTTTCTTGATGTGTGTTTCTTTAAAAGTATGTATTATTGACCACTAAGGCCCCTGAGGCCAAAACGCATATGGTCTTGTGTTGGTCATTTGACATATTCATCAACTTTGTATGGGAAATAATTACATCTTATGGATAGCTTCTTCTGAATTTTAATGCAGCCTGATATTCAGGGCCTATGTCTTTAATTTCATTGTGTACGCCGTATAATAAATATTTACTTTGATATTATTTTATCGGTTATAACTTGACCCTTGTAGCAGTTCCAGTATATTTTGGGTTGAGTTTTGGTTTCCCCCATCTTCTGTGATTAAACCTTAGCCTCATTTTATTACATGCTTCTGTTGCAGATTTTTTCACAGTATTTTATTAAAAACAACATGGTATTTTCAGAAGTTATATATATAAAAATGGGGAGGGTCAAGTGGGGCGGGCATCCCACCCAAAGCCAGCTGATTGGCAGGGCCATGCCCCCTATCAGGTAGTTTAGGGGCTTCTGAGAGGCAAAGGAGGGTGAACAGCCCCCCCCCCAAAAAAAGCTGGGCTGTAGGGATGGAAGCGGTCTGCACAACCCAAATGATGTGCTCTCCATCTTCCCACCATTTGGCTTCTGTCAGTGACACCCAGCTTTTCTCCTCAGTGGGGATCCAAAGCATCTTACATGATTCTTCCCTCCTCTATTTTTATCCTTACAATGACCCTGTGAGGTAGGTTAGGCTGAGCAGGAGTAACTGGCAGTCACCCAGCAAGCTCACATGATACAGCAGAGATTCAAACATGGGTCTTCTAGTTCCCAGTCCAGCACTCTTAACCACTACGCTACATGGCTGTGGCTCAGTGGAAGAACCTCTGCTTGGCATACAGAAGTTCCTGGGTTCAATCCCCAGCATCTCCAGTTAAAAGGACCAACTAGAAGATAATGTGAAAGACCTTTGCCTGAGACTCTGGAGAGTTGCTGTCAGCCTGACTTTGATGGACCGAAGGTCTGATTCAGTATAGAAGAAGAAGAGGAGGAAATTGGATTTATACCCTGCCCTTCACTACCCAAAGGTGTCTCAGAGCGGCTTACACTCTCCTTTCCCTTCCCCTCCCCAGAACAGACACCCTGTGAGGTGGGTGGGGCTGAGAGAGCTCTAGACAGGAACTGCTCTTTTTCAAGAACAGCTCTTATCAGAACTATGGCTTGCCCAAGGTCATCCAGCCAGGTGCAAGTGGATGAATGGGGAATCAAACCCGGTTCTCCCAGATTAGAGTCCGCGCACTTAACCACTACACCAAACTGGCAGCTTCATGTGTGTTAATATAGCAGGGCTGCTTATTTTTTTCAGGCAAGGTCAGTCTTAAATTCATAGTCGTCTGCTTTTGCCTATAACCATCTCTTTTGTAAGGGGGGGGGGTTATCTTCCATTCACGGTCAGCTTTCTTTTGGTAAATATGGTGTATCTTTGTTTAAAGAATGGCCAACAGTCCCAGCAGTGACAGAGACACATCTCACAATTTAATAGGCATGCCACAAAATTTACAAGTCTCCCCCCCCCCAATACTGGTCACAAGACTGCAAGAGACATAGTAAAGGGTAACATATAAAAGAGCAATTAAGGGAAGTAACAAGAGGCCCAAAAGAGAAGAGTAGGGGCACCAAGGTTAATATGTGCAAAAGTAGACACAGCCGTCACAGTAACTGGCCAATAGCACCCCTGCTACTCAAAAAATAAACCCTCTGTGGAATATAATGTAATGGAAATGCTCACGTTTTGCAAGGAAGAACAAAGTGGTTTAAGCTTAAAACTTATAATTCAGACTCATACATGCCCCTTCTAGCTCATCCCAACTCACCAAATCAGGGTAGATAGCATCTATTTAATGCAAACGTGTGTATAAAAGTTATATTAAAAACATGACTAACTCTAAAAATCCCCCTCCCCAATGCAATGCAACCCCCCACATCTGCATACACTCCATCTACAATGCTACAAAGACACTGGTGTCAAAGCAGAAGAATCTGAAGCAAGGGATTTTTCTCTCTTTCTTTTAGAGATCAGAGTCCTGAACAAACATTTCAAAGTCTTTCAGCACTGACCTCAGATTCCCAGGTTCAAAAAAACCCCAAAAAAACTTTGCAGCACATTGTTAAAATATATAAATGTCAACTGAAGTTTGCGCCAGACTCTCTGATGACCAACTTTATGAGGAGCGTTTAGGCTGGTGTACGTTGAGATTCTGTCTGCAGATTCCAATCAGGAATATGCCCTGGTGTTTGTCGCTCTCTTAAGGATAAGGTCCACAACGTCACTCCTGATCAGTTTTCAAAGATGCAGGCAGCCGTTTGGAATTTCAGCTGAAGCTAATCCATTGCTTGAGCCAGTGAGGAACATCAGAGAACTACTGCCAGTCTGTTGGCGAAACACGTAGGGAATTTTTGGGAGTTTTATCTGAGTAATAAAATATTTTTACCTGATTCTGCACCATCGCATTGGCCTTATCTTTTAGCGCTGCTGACTGGTGTGGCCCTTTTACTTTCTTCTTCAAACTCTGTTGGGCCTCACTGTCTGTGTATCATATAGGACTCACATACTGTTAAGACCAGTGGTTTTCAAATCTGTGTTTTGGGGACACGTGCGTTTCTTCAAAATCATACCAATGATAAAGTCATGATGAACGGGGGATCCTGAAAAGTCTCTTTCGCTAACATGATCAGTTCTGTTCTTTGAAGCATTGGTCCAGCATCATTCAAGAGTACACACAGAAAGCTTACCAACAGCTCTTGCCAACACCCCGTGTGTGTGTGTGTTTTAAATTTTAACATTTTTAATTACAGCCCCCAAACACAACATGTTTCATATGTTCCTTGTGATGTGGAACACTCCCCAGAATCCTCTGCGACATGCAGGGGTTCCTCACCACACTAGTTCACAAAGAAAGCTTTCCCTGAATACTTGGAGTCTGAAAATGACTCTTGTAGAAGAATTCTGAGAGTCTTCTGGGGCGAAGTTTATCTGCTGTTATTGATTTCATCACAAAGGACTCACCAATGACCTTTCCAAAACAAAAAACACATTCCCCCCCCCCAAGGGTTTCCCAGAGCGCAGCTTTCCAGAGGCAGCTAGTTGGCCACCGTGTGAACAGAATGTTGGACTGGATGGGCTTTTGGTCTCATCCAGCAGGGCTCTTCTGTGTTCTTAACAACGTCATTAATTCCTGATTGAAGCCCAAAATCAACGTGGTGGCAGCAAACCTTCCTAATTGGGTAATTGAGTCTGTCCTAATTGGGTATAAATGGGGGTTTGAAGGGCCTGATTTGGGGTTGGGTAAAGGCAAGGGTTACTAAATCCTTCCACCCACCTGTGGACTATCTCCTCATAATCAGACCACCTCAGGGATTTGCTTTTTTTTTGGTAAACAAATTTTTATTCAGTTTATCTCCTCATGGTCTGTCGCTCAGGTTTTTTTGCCCCACTGGACTCACTTTGTCTGCGGCCTACTGCCTGGCAGTTGGATCACCTCAGAGGACTTTGCTCCCAGCAAGACACCATTCCCCAAACTGGCAGCTTCTCACAGTCTGTCCCTCCCATTCCCACACCTTTTTTCCCAGCTGGACTCGCTTCAAACTGGCTGAAGGAAAAGTGACGAGGAAGACTACAGGAGGGAAATAAGCTGTCTTTTAAAATCAAGAGCTCCACGGCCAACACTCACAGCTCCCACTTTACAAGCTTCCGGGACAGGCCTCTGTTGAAGCAGCGGGATCTTCAGCTGTTGTTTGGCTCTAATAGGGCTGTCCTCCTGGGTGTATCATTTCTTGCTCCCCGACCGCAGAGCTATACATGAAGCTTTCAGCACGGACTGAATGTTTTCCTCTGTGTACTTTCTTATGTTTTGTAAGGTCCGAACTAGAAATGAAGCGCTTCCCACACTCGAAGCAAGCGTATGGCTTCTCTCCCGTGTGCGTCCTCTTGTGGGTAATGAGGGACGACTTCCGGTTGAAACACTTGCCGCAATCCGTGCATTTGTGTGGCTTCTCTCCCGTGTGGATTATATTGTGGTTGAGAAGGTTCGAGCTCGTGCTGAAGCTTTTCCCGCACTGGGTACACTGGTAGAGGTTCTCTCCCGTATGGGTCCTCTTATGGGTAATGAGCGGTGCTTTTGCATTGAAGCTTTTCCCGCAATCGGAGCATGTGTAGGGCTTCTCTCCTGTGTGGGTCCTCTCGTGGATGATGAGGTGGGTCCGCTGACTGAAGCTCTGCCCGCAGTAGGAGCACTTATACGGCTTCTCTCCCGTGTGTACCCTCTTGTGCATCATCAGGTTGGTCCGGGTGCCAAAGCCCTTCCCACACTCGGAGCATTCATAGGGCTTCTCTCCCGTATGGATCCTCTTGTGAGCGATGAGAGAGGCAATCTGATTGAAGCTCCGGCCACATTCTGAACAGTGGTACGGTTTCTCGCCCGTGTGGACCCTTTTGTGTCTGAGAAGCTGGGAGCTGTTGCCGAAGCTCTTCCCGCAGTCGGGGCACTTGTACGGCTTCTCTCCCGTGTGGGTCCTCTCGTGCGTGATGAGGGACGACTTCCAGTGGAAGCTTTTGCCACACACTGAGCACTTATGCGGCTTCTCTCCCGTGTGCACTATGTTGTGGTATATAAGATTCGAGCTGGTTGTGAAGCATTTCCCGCACTCAGAGCACACGTACGGTTTCCCACCCGTGTGGGTCCCCTGATGCTTCAGAAGAGACGCCTTGGTGCCGAAACTTTTGCCACAGTCTGAGCACTGGTACGGCCTGTCCCCTTTTGGGACCGTCCCCTTTTGGGGATCGAGGGGCGCTCCGTTCTTGAAGGTCTTCCCACACTGTTCGCATATGTAAAATTCTTCCCCCGTCTGAGTTTCCTGATTTGTCGGGAGGTCGAAAACCTCACAGAGATTCCCACACTCCGTGCAGGTCTTTTTGCTCTTACACTGAAGCATCGCCTCACTACTTGCATAAAAGGTTTTGCCACCTTCTTTACAAAGAACGACCTTCCCCCCTCCCTTCCCCGGACGATCTTCCTGCTGCCTGTCCGATCCCGACTCATCTCTGTCCTCCTCAGCCTCCCTGTGGAATGGGACGGCCTTCCCTCTGGCTTTTCCCACAGAGGTCTCAAGGAGCTCCGCCCGCTCAGGTCTTTCTGGCTGAACCTTTTCCTCCTCTTTCGCCATCGTTTGATCATCGCCTGGTGGAATAAAAGGGAGGGTAGTGAAATCACTCCCAAGGAGCATGAAGAACACATGAAGCTGCCTTACACAGAACCAGACCCTGGGTCCATCAAAGTCAGTATTGTCTACTCAGACTGGCAGTGGGTCTCCAAGGTCTCAGGCAGAGGTCTGTCACACCACCTACGGCCAGATCTTTTTACTGGAGATATCGGGGATTGAACCTGCATACCAAGGAGATCCTCTGTCCCTGAGCCACAGCTCCCCCCCCCCCCAAACATGGGCAGGGCTGATGTCAGGGGTCAGAACTGTTGGGCAGCTATGGTGGTCCAGGGTTCCTCAAGAGGGCCAACTGACGCAACAGTATCGACCACCCATGCCTGTTTTCTGCCTCAGTCTGAACTAAAGAGGGCACATGGTGGGGAGAGAATAATGAGGTGAATCAGAGCTATTTTTGGGCAGGAACACACAGGAACGGAGTTCCGGCTGGCTCCCGAGTTGGCCACGCCCAGCAGGAACCCATTAGCATAATAGGCCACACCCAACAGCAGAAACTCATTAGGATTGGCTACATTAGGGGTGTGTGGCCTAACATGCAAAGGAGTTCCTGCTACAAAAAAAGGCCTGGGTTTTGACAACAAACAAGGTAAACAGAATAAGAAGCAAAAGGTGGGTGTGGCTGGATGACCACACTTCTGGTAACATGGGGGGTCGGCCTAATGTGCTAATGAGCTGTG